GATATCTCTCCTATGTCTGTTAACCTAAAGAACTCAAGCTTTCTACCTTGTTTACTCACAGAATGGGTATGTGTAAGTTTTTGAAATCTGTAGGTTACTAAGTAGCCATTAAGGAACAGTAACCATTACTTAGAAAGATATTTCAAAACAAAAAAGGGACTTGAAGAATTAAGTTGATCCATTTTCAAGCATATTTACTGTAGAACCATTCAACGATAAGATCTGGGTGTAATTTGTTACTTTTCCTCATAAAAACCCAGGCTGACTTCATTATTGCTAAACAGTATGTGTTGTCCTGTTGGAAACACCAGGGAAATCGGAGATGTATTTATACTGCTACATAATGAAGTACAGGCAATGGGTACATCTGGTGTAGAAAACTGAATTTAACCCATGATCTTGACTAACCAGTGTTAATTTCTCTATCTGGTAGTGTGTATTAGCATCAGTAATTGTCAGTTGTAGATGTTGTCAGGGAGAGATCAAAAAGATGTCAGGGAGGAGCACACATAGATGTTGTCAGGGAGATAGTCACAGGGATGTTGTCAGGGAGATAGTCACAGGGATGTTGTCAGGGAGATAGTCACAGGGATGTTGTCAGGGAGATAGTCACAGGGATGTTGTCAGGGAGACAATCACAGGGATGTTGTCAGGGAATAGTCAAAGGGTTGTTGTCAGGGAGACAATCACAGGGATGTTGTCAGGGAATAGTCACAGGGATGTTGTCAGGGAGACAATCACAGGGATGTTGTCAGGGAATAGTCAAAGGGTTGTTGTCAGGGAGACAATCACAGGGATGTTGTCAGGGAATAGTCAAAGGGTTGTTGTCAGGGAAATAGTCATATGGTTGTTGTCAGGGTGATAGTCACATGGTTGTTGCCAGGGAGAGATAAAAAAGATGTCCAGGAGGAGGACACATAGATGTCAGGGAGATAGTCACAGGGATGTTGGCAGGGAGACAATCACAGGGTTGTTGTCAGGAAGGAGTCACAATTATATTTTCAGTGAAATAGTTAGTGATGGTGTCAGGGAGGGGCCAGGGTGATGTTAGAGCCCCTTGGTTCACAGTGATGTTGTCAATGAGGAAGTCACACTAATATTGTCAGGGTGGAGTCACAGAGATGTTGTCAGGGAGGAGGTTGCAGGGATGTTGTTATGGAGGTCATAGAGATGTTGTAAGAGAGGTCGCAGAGATGTCGTTAGGGAGGTCATAGAGATGTTGTCAGGGAGAGGATCATAGAGATGTTGTCAGGGAGAGGATCACAGAGATGTTGTCAGGGAGGGGTAACAGATATTTGTAGTCAGGAGGGTCACAAAGATGGTGTCAGAGAGACAATCTCAGGGATGTTGAGAATCTAAATGATTCTGTATGGAGAATGGCATGGTTCTGAAGTACATTTACAGATAGAACATATAACTGTCTCTTTTGTACTAGTGAAGTGATTGGAAGTCTAAGTGGGGAAGCCTTGTCACTGTCAGACCGGATCAGTAATTATTGACCAATTCCTTAGAAGGTCAAGTTGTGTGGAAAGGAAGTGAAGACTTAGCTTTTAACAGAGATCTGACACTCAGTTGTCACCTAATCTAATAGAGTGGAGTAATGCTGGGTGATTGGAACTTCAGCTTTAATCCACAGTGTGTATTGCTGTGTCAGCTTTTTTGAAATAAGCACTTTTCAAACAAGTGTTTAAGGATATGATTACATTTTACATGTTTTTAAAATGGCTGAAATTTTCTTTATAGGAAAGTTGATTTTGATATTATATAAGTTTATTAATTTGTTCCCAAAGGAAATGAGGTGATGTTTTATCTTCTCTCCACTAGGTGGCATCGTGCTATTTGCTGATGGGCCTACACTTAGCTATCTTTCCACTAGGTGGCATTGTGCTGTGTTGATGTAACATGTTAACACCATGAAGTGTGATTTGGATATGGCCGTCTGGCAGACATTATCGACAGTTATTTGATGTCGGAGACTTTTCTTGCAATTTTCAGGGTGTGACAGAAATCTCTGAGTTATTTACTTTTTAGTCTGAAGCTTTAGCATGCAATCATTTTTTCACACTTTTTGCAAAATTTGGATCAAAAGCTCTCAAGATAAAAACTGTTATGGCTTTACATGATCTGTACATAACCATGGTATTGAAGTCAATGTCTTAACAGAAATTGGAAACAATAAATGATATCTTTAGAAAGTGGTTTATAGAACAATAGTTTTCTGTGAGGAATGTTGTACTGCATCAGATACTACAGGTTTTGACTTCCCCACTTGTTAGAAGTGATGAAGACAATGATATACAGTGTTATTTATGTGAATAAGACAAGAGCTTGGGAAGAAGACACTGATATGCCAAGTGTGTAAAGCTTTGTACAGAGGAGTACACAGGACTTGCTTAATGATATTAGTACAATGGTGTAAACCGTTTCTCCATCATCAACCCTGACGTAGGTGTGTACTGTACCGCCATCATCGACCCTGACTTAGGTGTGTACTGTACCGCCATCATTGACCCTGACTTAGGTGTGTACCCTATCTCTGATCGGAAGACATGGATTAGCAGTTAAACAAGTGATTTAAGACAGAAAACTCCAGCTCAATTCCTGGTTAGGAATGTTTATTTCCAATGAAGTCATTACCTAGCAGCCTTGTAGAACAAATCTCTTCAAATCTGATGATATCCTTTACGATGATATTTCTCAGTTCACAATTGCTGTAAAATGTTCTGGGTTTATATGATAACTTGTAGTCCTATAGACAGATAGGATATAAGGCTGCCCCTGTTACGTGAATCAGCAACTAATCTTGTTATATTTATGTTATCTCACTTTCCTAACCAACTTTTCCATGTCTAACACCTTCCTTGGCTACACCATGCTTTGGGTGGGCATCGATCTGCCGATGTGAGGAAGGGTGTGAATTCTGTCCCTTGTTCAAGGAAAGTTGTCCTTTGGTCAAGGAAAGGTATCTGTATGAAATCTGTCCCCTGATTTCGGAAGGGTATGAATTATGTCCCCTGATCAAGGAATGGTATGAATTATGTCCCCTGATCAAGGAATGGTATGAATTATGTCCCCTGATCAAGGAATGGTATGAATTATGTCCCCTGATCAAGTAATGGTATGAATTCTGTCTTTTGATCAAGGAATAAGACCCTGACGGTATAAAATAGATTCAACTGCATGAAAATAAATAAACTTGATTCTGGAAATACCATCTTCAGAAAATATTTACCTCGGAAAATGCTAACATCAGAAAATATCAACTTTGTGTCTTTCACATAGATGCAGACTGAACTATTTGAGTGTAATGCATAAGTGCACTTACTGAATCTTTCTAACCAAAATTTCATGTTATCTTTTATCTTTACACTATCTTAATGCACACACCCAAGTGATGTATCAAACATATGAATTGTGTTTGTTATTTGATGCACCAAGGAAACAATACCATTTACAGCTCAGAACATCACATTTATCCAGAATTGTCTGACATGGTCTCATTTAGTTAACTATAGAACCTGAGAACACATCCAGAATGTCCACTTTTTATGGAATATTGTTTTGATCATAAGTTGTTTGTATTGCCATTGGTTGTCCACACTGATAGGGTCTGTTTCAGTTTTGTTTCTGGTACTTTGATGGTGTTCAATGGTCTTCAAAAGAAAGAGAGAAAGTGTGAAATTACTAAAACTATTTTGTTAGCATTCCATTCACCCCCACACTATTAGGAATTGGTCTTTAAATATCAGATAGGTCACCTCACAGCTATATATAGAGGTTCCAAAATGTATAAACTTATATTGTTAAATAGATATTGATAAGAACTTCATTTCTTCATAATAGTTACCTTTCAAGTTCATCAAAATCTGATGTTTTTTTTGTCTTAGTTTTGTCATTCACTTAATTTTTCAATTTTGTTAGCCAGAGGAATTTCTTGTTTAGCATCAGCAGCATAATTTGAGGGAATTACAAGTTTTCATGCATTTTTCTACTGTAAATAGATCCTGTGATTACCAAACTGAAGAGAAAATGCTTAAGCACATATCAGACTCAAGTTTCTCTCATTTCATACTCCTTCAATGATCCCAGAGCCAACAAAACTGACAAGGATCATATAGTGTTATAGCATTATCTAGTCAGGATACTTCACACCATAGTATCATACCATCAAGTTCAAGAGTGTCTGTCAATTCCTGGCTTCTCTCAAAAACCATATGGCATGATTTTAATGCATACAAATTCTTTTAAGATGACTATGTAGGATCAACTATTTGAGATGCAATTTTTAAATTGAATAATTATGAAATAACAAGATTTATTTATTAAAAGCACACATTTTCAAAAAATCAACAGTAGGTTGGACTGACAAAAGTTCTGAATGTAGAAACCAATAATGTAAGCAGTCTGGATGTGGTTAACTTGAAAGGCAAGTACTGAATGGTCATCGTTTTCTATCAGTTGTCATGGCAATACCTACTATTGGAACATACATTATTCAACACTTGTGACCATTGATCCAGGTTTTTATAATGACAAAAAAATAATTTCTCCTGTTCTTTAATGCAATGTAGAGAAATTCTCAAATTAATTGAATTGAACATCCTCCCAACCCTAGTATTGATAATGGAACAATCTTAATCATTGTAATGTTTAGTCCTTTCTACATGGGAAGGTAATGGTTGCGACTTTAATTAAGCTTCGACACATGCAAGTTGGTTGTACTGCAATGAAGTGAAATTATTTATTTTGTCATGGAAGACACAATAAGATTATTTTTCATTTAGTTTAAAACTGAGTTTAAATTGTATACATGTCTCTATATATGGTATTTTATTAAGCACATATTACTGTATGACATAAAGTGTCTATACAGGACCCTGTGTAGTCTTGACATCTATAAAATTATGTACTGTCATATGATAATTTAACAACAAAATTTTAATATGATGTGAATAATTTATTCTTAGGTAAATAATGTTTATTTTTTATAAATGTTACAGATAGAGATCTCGATGACTACGACTTTGTATATCCAAGGCCTGAACAAGCCGAAGCTGACAACGAGGACGACATGAACGGCCATGTACAGTATCGGGGCCTGCCTCCCCCTCCTCATGGAGATTTCATCTGTGACTCGGGGAACCCTCCCCCGTGTCCAAGGGACCTCTACTCACAATCACAGATATATGACACAATACCTGCCAATCAGGTAAAAATTCCTTATCTTTCATACCTACAAATATTTCAAAACTATTTTTAGAAATTTCAGCCATGAAGAAATACAATTATAAACTTTCTTTTGACATACTGCATGGTACTTATATATATATATTGTGTTGCTTTATCTTAGAAAATTAGAAATTTCTTAAATTGTGGATAAGAGATTTCAGTGTCAAAGTTCCTTCTATAATCGATTTAAACACTGTCCATGCTTCACTAACAATCACTTAATCTAAACAACACAAAACTTACATCCCTAACCAGTAAAAGACCCGTCTCTATCTCATATGATAAGGTTGTAAGAGTTACTTCCCTTTACACATAAAATTGACTAATATGTGTGATGGTGACATATTGGTTCAAATTCTTTTCATATCGTAGGGAGAGTATGGGAGCCAGAGGCGCAGTGCTCCTGCCCCACCCAGACGGAGCCCTAGTACCCGACTAAGTACTGGCAGTAGGGTGAGTATGAGAACAAAATACTAAAGACGTAGATTTCTCTTATCCTATGAAGAAAAAGAGACTTTTCATGACCCAATCTAGTACTTTAGTAAACCAGATTATGCTGGAAAGCTAACCTAAATGCTGTTTTATCTAGATTTAATGCTTTTAAAGCATTGATTAATGTATGATTAAAAAAAGTCACTGAGGTATTTATACAATATAAAAGTAAAGCCCACTATCTTAATGATCCTGTTGGAAAGCTGGAAGAACTGTCAATGCTTAATCTCTGTATGGAAAATCGTTAAATAGAATTTCAAAAATACCTGTAATCTCACAAAGCTCAAAATATCAATTAATTAATAATTAATAATGTAGAATACATTTTCATGGGTGATTTATTGTGGACTTTGTTTCATGCCTGCAGACCTCCTCCTCCTCCAGTGGAATCTATGATGACACAGCGCTGTACATGGAAGACAGCCATCACAGCCCCCAGCACCAGCCACAGCCTCCACATTCACCAATTAACATCCCACCCCTACAGATGTCACCACGGCTACAGAAGAAAATGGTGGCCAGCCCATTGGCCAGTCCTCGTAGTCCGAGTCATCCGAACCCAAATAAGCCATTTTCCTATATTGTAAATCTTCCTGGCTCACCAAAAACCCATCGTAGGTCAAGTGATGGGAAGTACTATGATGTTCCAGATGTGTCTCCACCTGGTGATCCGACATATGAACCAATAGGACCTCATCCATATTCACAGGTCGATAAACACAAGGCCCCAAGTAGTGGGCAGTATGGTGCTCCAGCTTCTCCAGGTCACCAAAGTCCAAGCTATTACAGCCAAGGTCAAGGTCATCCTGCAACACCTGCATCGCCAGGTCATCAAAATCAAGGTTACTATGGTCAAGGACTCCCTGCCAGTAATGGTAGTCAATATGGTGCTCCTGCTTCACCAGGTCATCAAGGACATTATGGACAAAGTCATTCGTGCACACCCCAAGGTCAACATCATGGACAACTGCCAGCTATGCAACAGCCTTCATACTCACCATCACACCGAACGGCATCGCCTCCACCTCTGCCAAAAGTTGGCCCAGGATCAGCCCCTCATAGCCCAATCTTGCAGAGACAGTCTTCACTGAAAAGAAAGAATGAAAAGGTGGCTTCCCCTGTAATGCCACGACAACCAACAGAGCCACGAGCTACAACTCCAGACCCTGGTGCTACACACATGGACAGTGTGCCTAAGTCTGAAAGTCAGAGGTCTAGTCATGGCCCGCCAAGTTTCCCTGCTCCCCCTCCTCCGTTACCGGTGGCAGCACGATTTGTAGCGGCTACGCTGGAAAATAATCGTCCACCTTCCCCACCTTTACCACCACCCCCTCCTGAAATGATATCCGATTCTTCACCACACACCACACCACACAAAGTTCCCCAACCTGTAGCTCCGCCCCAAGTTCCTAAAGTGGCAAACCCACCCCCTCCTCCCCCACCACCAATTTCAAAGATTCCTGGACGACCTCAAATTTCTTCATTTGAAATTGGGAAAAAGCAACCAAAGGGAGATGACTCACATGACCAAGGGAACAGGAAGCAGTCGCAACACACAATGCCTGTTCCTGGTCAGGCTGCTGTCATAAAACCAAACCAGCAGAAACAGCAAAAGCTTCAGGGCAAGAACCTGGTAGAGGAGCTTAGTAAGGTCACACTACGGACAGTTCAGCAGAGTAGTCCTCAACAACCAGAACCTCAACCAGTCGTAGAGGAGCCAAAGGTCAAGTCCACTCCACCAAAACCTGCAGGTAAGTTTGGTGACCAGTCCAGTAGGAAGTATTGGGTCACCTCACAAAATCCTCCTTGTAAGTTTGGTGACCAGTCCAGTAGGAAGTATTGGGTCACCTCACAAAATCCTCCTTGTAAGTTTGGTGACCAGTCCAGTAGGAAGTATTGGGTCACCTCACAAAATCCTCCTTGTTAGTTTGATGACCAGTCCAGTAGGAAGTATTGGGTCACCTCACAAAATCCTGCTTGTAAGTTTGGTGACCAGTCTTTGAGGAAATATAGGGTCAAGCCCACCCCATCAAAACCTCAAGGTAAGTTTGGTGACCAGTCTTTGAGGCACTATAGGGTTAAGCCACCCCATCAAAACCTCCAGGTGGTTGCCATGATACCTTCAGATACTAGTAAATAGGTGACATTCAAAAGGTTGCCATTTTTATAACCTTCCCCATAAAAATTGAAATACATGTAAGTCTCATACTTAAACCTCATTTAGTTATGCTAGGTAGATATTTAGTACAACAGAAACCCAGGATCAAACCCTCCCTCCCAAACTGAACCCCTTTGTGAGTTTCTCTGTATAAACATGTACCTTTCCTGTCTAAGTGTGACACTGGATAAAACCTTTCTTTACCAAATCCCTGGTAAAATTAACCTATTGCCAAATTTCCTCCAGTGAAATCTTTAGATAAAATCCAAGTAAGTGGCTGATTGTAAGTGACCTTGGGTCATACACCTCCCTACTTTAACCAGTAGAGAAATAGAGTTATGGGACTGCAATCAGAAACTAGATGATATAAATCTCAGATACCTCTATTGATATCAATTTATCAATACTGTTGTCATGGTTATATCCACTAGGGGTTGATTTTGAGATTTCAGTAGCCAAAGTGTACACATTGGGGTTATTTTCATGATCAGAGTACCTTCACAAATCTATGTATACAATACGTAACAAATTCATAAGCATGGAGGAAATTTATGAAGCTGAATGACTGTAAGTGTAACTTTTCCCCACATGTAAATTCCCACATTTACAGTCAAAGCAGCAGGAAACTCAATAAGGTTTATATTAAAACTGTCGTGATTTATTTTCAGAAAAAGCAAAACCTCCATCAGAGAAAGAATCTGCGACAGCATTTTTACCAAAATTGAAATCAACTGGTGCCAAGCCATGGGAGAAAGGTAAGAAAGGAGCAATAATACACAGCATAGTGTGGTGTTTGGGTGGTATAGTAGCCCAGTTTTTACTAAACTTATTAACAAAGTAATATACCGGTGGAGGCTTTCAGAAAGGGCAGATAATTCTTGTTATAATTTTTCATTACCTCAAGTTTTTACTAACATTTTACAAGAAATCTGTTTAATCAAGAATGCTTGTTTTTATATTCGTTAGAGTGTTTTATTTGTCTAGGTTTTGATCTTTAGCATGATTCATCATCTCATCAAAGATTTTATTGTTTAGGACTTTCAAAAATCTTAAAAAGAATTCTGTCTTCAGAAAATATATCTATTTTTTAAGTGTCATCCTTGCTTTTCACAAACTAGAGGTGCCATATTTTTCTGTTTTACATATTTCGCATATGCAATGTCTGTATTGATAACAGATGTGCCCACAGGTCAGAACATGCCACACGCACAAATGGAGGATGATGACCTTCCCCCTCCTCCACCACCGCCCATGGATGACGACTTCTTGCCCCCTCCTCCCCCACCCCCAGGGGTCACCCCCAACATGGAGCTGTACCAGACTGGGGGCCAGCAGAGATATAAAAAAGATTCAAGTCCTGACCCAGAGCGAAAACCAGACTCTGGCATAGGTAATCATTTTTGTTCAGGGTGTCCAAGGTCGATGTGAAGGTTACTGATGAAGTTATCCACAGTGGACAATTCTACATTACAAATGTGTTAAACACCTGAAGTGTTGTGCACATACACACTAAATAAAGTTTGTATAATACTCCTGTATTCTACAAAATGTCACTGGATCTATGTAAATTAGAGTCCTATTTGTTTGTCCAAAGTTCTCGTAACTGTCTGCATGCCCGTAATTATGCTTGGAGTCATTGTCTTCACTTGTAACTACAGTAGCCTATTATCATTGGATCTGACTTATGTCAACAAATAGAGTAGAGTATCATCACAGATGTCGGAGGTTTTCAGGAACTTGTTGTCCTATCCCATTTCACCAATAAAATCAAACCATTTACAATAAAGACACTGGGACTAGCACCACAGGGACTTGTTGATTAGGGTCACTCACTTGGTCAATCTACATAGTCATGGTTGTGTAAATACTTGTTACACATGACTTAGTTATATTTATATGCTTGCAACTAATGTCTTTGCACTGTTAAAGCTTGTAACACTAATCTGGGTAAGTTAAATGTTGCACCTTTGGTCTGGCTACCATTAATGCTTGAGCTTTATGACAGAAATTCATTAACATGAATTTTGAGTATACTGATATCATTGTGGCATGTTTTTATTTTGAGTTTTTTTTTTTTACAAAACTCTGAGCTGTTCAGTGAAACCTGTCTAATGAGGGACTTCCTGGGACAGACAATTCTGATTTCACTGCATAATGTGTTTATTGGATATTTTATTTTATATGTGAAGATATAGGATTTATAGAATTGGAGTTTCAGTTAATTACAGCAAATTATAGCTGAATGAGTGACTGTTATTACATTGGGCTTGAACTGCAAGGAATTAGATATAATTGAACAAAGGGAGATAATTCAAGCTGCCTTGCTGTAGAAATCTTGCCCTGAGACTTTGACTAGAAGTAAAACGGGAGAAAACTCTATCTGCTTTCTGGAATAACCAAATTAGAGTGCACATGAAAAGTACATTGAAGTAAAAAGATAAAAGCACAACATGAGCTTTTGTCATGACACTAGTTTTAATTCGTTCTTAGTCCACAGATTCTTAGAGCTTATATGAAACAAAACCCCCAAAAAATGTTTTTCCAAACAAACAGATGTCAACTTGTCTGAATCAAGACCATCAAAGAGTAAAGATACAGACGTTGTTTGATGCTTGATAATTATTGAGTCATTGACCACAGTGTCTGAGTTGACAAAATCAAAAATATATACTGTCTTTAAATCAAGTTGATTACTAAATGACACTCAGTCACCATGATATCATGGAAAGACCTTAATAACACTCCCCATCCTAATACTCATATCTGTAGATCCTATAGACTGTATAATAGTACTGTTAGACTGAGTCTGTCATCATGTATCCACACTGAATTTATGAGGTATAAAGACCTGCCTCTTAGAGCCTATTATGTCTGGCAAGCTTCACTGAATGCAGTGCGAACTTTGATTGAGGAGGGGGCCATGTGGCCAACAAAGATAGATTGGCCGAGACAAGAGGCGCCCCCTGGAGGAAATGTTTATCTGACCCATATTGTTTTCAGTACCACTGACCTACTGTTGTACTAGAAACTGTTTGCTCTGTCCCATTGACCACTGTTTATGTGGCAATAAGCCTATGCCTGTTAATAAGCCCACCCTAGTTATTTATTACAGCTTCAGTGAAAATACCACGAAATGTCACATTATTATCCTTCCTTCAGTGAATCAGATGGTAGGTTTTGCTGTGTTGTTCTGAAGGCTTATAACATAATATAGTTATCATGGTTGATTTCATGAGTTCACTCATACTACACTTGAACTGTAGTACAGACAGACACATTGTAAAATTTATTGTAAAGATTTTTAACAAAATGATGTCTGTGATCATGTGCACTATACCTCAAGAGTTCTATATCATATTTCTGGGATGGAATTTAACACTAGCTATCAGTCCATGTATTGCTGAAATGGAAGAAATTTGTCATTTCATTTCACTCATATTAACTTAACTAAATTGACAGCCTACATTCTGGAAATACTGGCTGGAGTACTTCAATCCCACCTTTTACTCACAAAATACAGAGTAACGTCCCTTTGATTCATCATGCATAACATTTATCTAGCATTTCATCAAACTTGCCATATTTTTCTGGCCATTTGGGATTACAGAATGTAACAAGGTCACATGAGATATTTCCCCTTTATCCTTTTTAATCATATTTTTATCAGGTAATTTCTTCCCCCCACCCCATTCATCTGTTTTCATGATCACATGAGCAACAGAGTTATGTCCTCTTGTTATTAATCTGGCTTGAGGATTTGATATTTGAATTGTTCGTAATATTATGTCTTTTTCTATAACATAAATCTCTATTGAATCACAAACTGCTGTATTAGAAATCTCAAGTTTAAAGTAAGTGAGAATAGTACTGAAGGAAATTAGGTAACTTCTGCTATTACAGAAAAGGGAATGCGTTGAAATAACTGTATCTGAAAATCTAAAAGGTGGCAATGTAATTATATTATTACTATAATATAAGTTTAGAGATTAAAAGTTAAATCCAGGTGTGTTTTCAGGGATATTGAGATAAAAATGCCTGATGGTGAATTCTGTAGGTGTTCTATACAGAGATTCAGCTCACATATCACACAGTCAGGCAGGCATGGCTAAGGATTAACTTACGTTTGGTACAAATAAACAGCTAGTGAATCATGATGACATTGTAACATAAACTCAGATACACAATCAGTATAAAACGATCATTCTTCACTGATTCAAACTTTTTCTGTAGAACAAGGCTCTGATGAGATTCTGATATTTAAACATGAATTGGTTTTCCTTCCTGGTTCTTCTGAGGTTCAACACTCTGTTAATGAATAGTAGCTGCTCCCCTCCTTCATCTGCTCTGACTCAGTTTGTAACATTAGACAGAAGATGAAGATAAAAATTATTTGTCTGCTAAATTTAGCTGCAGTGCTGGGCTTTTTACAGCATGTGAAAACTCAAGTGTGTTTTGCAGTAACTAAAATTAGTTTCCACCTGTGTTGGGTTTTAGTAAAGGCAAGGCATTTGGAAATATGGGTTGGTACGAATGACGAAACCAAAAGATAAATAAGATATATAAATTAGGTTTTTTTGACAGAATGACTAAAACATCTGTATAATGTTCTGTGTAGTGGAGAAAAAGAGGCTTGGTTCGAATGGGTGCAGTAAGAAATGAATAACGTTTTTGTTTTCTGCTCCACGTTCTATTTTAGTCAAACTGAGGGATAAGGGATGGTCTGCTCCACTTCCTATTGTAGTCAAACTGAGAGATAAGGGATGGTCTGCTCCACTTTCTATTTTAGTCAAACTGAGGGATAAGGGATGGTCTGCTCCACTTCCTATTGTAGTCAAACTGAGAGATAAGGGTGGTCTGCTCCACTTCCTATTGTAGTCAAACTGAGAGATAAGGGATGGTGTGCTCCACTTTCTATTGTAGTCAAACTGAGAGATAAGGGATGGTGTGCTCCACTTTCTATTGTAGTCAAACTGAGAGATAAGGAATGGTGTGCTCCACTTCCTATTGTAGTCAAACTGAGAGATAACGGATGGTGTGCTCCACTTCCTATTGTAGTCAAACTGAGAGATAAGGGATGGTGTGCTCCACTTCCTATTGTAGTCAAACTGAGGGATAAGGGATGAACATTATCCTATCATTCCTGGTAAACATCCTCTTTATTCTTCTGCAACATTTCTATGTTCTTTCATTCCCTTCTTCCTTTTTTCTCTCGTCTTATTGAAAAACTTTTGAGCACTTTCAGTATCATTTACCTGTGACAGTAGAAATGAAGATACCTTTGTACAAGTTTCTGTAGATTGAGTAAATTAGCAATTTTTGACAAAGCTTATGTTATGTAAAATCCCCTTAAGATAAGCCTAAAGCATGTTATGTTGTTTATTTCATGACAATTACCCAGTGGTAAAGAGAAACAAAGTTTTCTGAAGTATGGCAATGGGTTAAAATGTTGATTTTAGAACTTATCAGCTCTATATATAATATCCAATTCTGGGATGTGAAATACTCAGCATTTTTTCAGAATTACGTTTCACAGTTTTTTTACACCTATTATCGGAGGAAGTTGTACACAAGATAGGAACGCTTGGTAAACTGAGTAGGGTTTCAAGTCTTCAGGAAATCATCAGACTTCCACACTAATAAAAACATTCATTCATTTCGCTAAAGAAGTTTGGTTCCAACCTTTTTTTGGAATCGACCCTGTTAAATGAGTAAGTTTTCTAGCATGGGTAAAGTGTTAAGTGATCAGTCAGTGTTATACTGACCAGACAGCTGTTTTACTAGCATGGGTAAAGTGTTAAGTGATCAGTCAGTGTTATACTGACCAGACAGCTGTTTTACTAGCATGGGTAAAGTGTTAAGTGATCAGTCAGTGTTATACTGACCAGACAGCTGTTTTACTAGCATGGGTAAAGTGTTAAGTGATCAGTCAGTGTTATACTGACCAGACAGCTGTTTTACTAGCATGGGTAAAGTGTTAAGTGATCAGTCAGTGTTATACTGACCAGACAGCTGTTTTACTAGCACGGGTAAAGTGTTAAGTGATCAGTCAGTGTTATACTGACCAGACAGCTGTTTTACTAGCATGGGTAAAGTGTTAAGTGATCAGTCAGTGTTATACTGACCAGACAGCTGTTTTACTAGCACTGGTAAGGTGTTAAGTGATCAGTCAGTGTTATACTGACCAGACAGCTGTTTTACTAGCACGGGTAAAGTGTTAAGTGATCAGTCAGTGTTATACTGACCAGACAGCTGTTTTACTAGCATGGGTAAAGTGTTAAGTGATCAGTCAGTGTTATACTGACCAGACAGCTGTTTTACTAGCATGGGTAAGGTGTTAAGTGATCAGTCAGTGTTATACTGACCAGACAGCTGTTTTACTAGCATGGGTAA